CAACGATTTACCAGGCCATGTACAATGCCATCAGTGAGTCTCCCTTGCGTACACGCTAACTTCTCGTATGGTCCGGAAAATTGTTTCTGACTCTTTCCACTATAGCACGCAGCATAGAGACCGAGCTAATCCACGCTTGCAAGCGCTACGGCATTGACATTGTAATTTACAACCCCCTTGCTGGAGGACTCCTCTCGGGCAAGTATAAGACCCAAGATGTGCCAGAAGAAGGTAGGTACAGTGACAAGGCCGATAGCGGATCATTGTACCGCAGTCGGTATTTCAAGGATGCTACCTTTGACGCTTTGAGAATTATCGAGCCTGTCGTGGAAAAGCATGGATTGACATTGCCCGAGACTGCGTTTCGGTGGATCCGTCATCACTCTGCATTGAATATCAACGATAATGGCCGTGATGGAATTATAGTCGGAGTGAGTAGCCTTTCTCAACTGGAGAGCAATCTCAAGGATATTCAGAAAGGCCCGCTACCCGATGAAGTGGTTGAGGCTCTGGACAAGGCCTGGTTGGTTGCGAAGGCTTCGGCTCCCGACTATTGGCACCTCCAGCTCAAATATACCTACGATACCAAAGAGGCGTTGTTCAAGCCTAGTGCGAAGGCTTGAGTGCATACAAGGGTATCTGGCAAGATTTGAATTGGGAGAATGCGATAATAGGAATAGTAAATATTCATGCCCCCATTTCAACTCGCTTCGCCATGAAAATCCTTGACACGTGTTTCAGCAACTAGCCCCTGTAAGATAGAAGTAGAATGGGATATGCAGAAGCTCACCGGTCCAGGCCATGTAGTTATGCAGAGGTTGGAGGGACTCGAATATCGGTGGGTCTAGATCGAGATCCTCCTGCATGTTCTGCATATCTCCAAGCAGGTGACCGTGCCGCACATGTGAGCACCCACAATCACTCCCCTTCTTTCCCCGCTTCCTCCTGTTACCTACTCTTGGAACCAGATCCTTTCGTCTGCACGCATCCAGGTATTGTCCGATGTCTGCAGTCTGTCGGTTCATATTGCGGAGCCTGGATGGCGCTAATTATCAGCTGCCCAGGGATGATCCTCGCATCATACACACTCAAGAATGGACTCTATAGGATGTGTGCTGTACCCTTGCATGGCACTTCACCTATACCATCGTCTAAGCTAATCTGGGGTAGGCGCCTGACAGCTATTGTGCCACATTCTCTTACCATTGCGCCTAGAACCTCACTCACGGTCTTATCTCCGACTCCTCCTTACAAGTGCACATATCCCTTCACAGTGCTACCGCGGAAAGCATAGCTCGAAGCTAATTGAGAGCTTATCTCCGCTGGTGACACATCGGAGCGTTTAGGACACAGAGAACTAGACTCTGTCTTGGCTGACCTTGAGGTATTTGAAGACAAGGTGACTCCCACGATTATGTAGTCCACACTTGATCCGACAGAATCGTGCAGAGCTAAGTAAACGCTGCAATGAAACCTTACTGCCATGCATTCATGGCAGATAGCTGCCTGACACCAATAGCGTGCATGCACCAGCGATATCGACTAGATACCAGGAGCTGTTTCAAGGGGTTTGCAGACCTGGTTGTCCTTGGATCTCGAGTTGTGTTCATCTAGACCCCGGTAAATTGGCAGGTTGCGCTCATGCTGTGATCTAGATCCCAACCTTGAGGATGCAACGATTGTACGGGCCATGTGAGCATAGAGTTGTGGTTATCTCCTTGCGTGTTGCGCAAGTCAAGGATGGTCCAAATATAGAGGAAATGACGAGAATATATAAATAGGCTTACCGGCTACGTCGATTACCATGGCTCAAAAGGAATCAGGTGGGCGATTTTGCTCTAGCGATACAATATGTCTCTTGTCATTGCTCGCTCGTTTGCGGTCAAGAATCACCCAGATGAGGAAGCAAGTGGCTATCCAACGTCAGACATCGAGAAGAAGACCGTGATAAGTGTGACGCAGGAGTCTACCGCCGCTTCCACCGATGAAGTACTCAGTGGGTCCCACAAGAAGAAATGGAGTTGGTTCCAGCGATCTCGGACTCCTGATCCTAATGCCATTGCAACACAACCGTCGGTGTATGATGACCCTGACCTTGTTGAGGAATACAAACCACGTCCCGATTGGGAAGGCATTCATCGCTTCGACCCGGCAGCAAGATGGACTTGGGCTGAAGAAAATGTATGTATGCGAGGCTCACTGTGAGCGGAAAGCTCTAATCTTAGGGACATCTAGAAAATCGTTAGAAAGCTGGACCTCCGTATCATTATATGGGCCTGCATAATGATAACTGCCCTGGAACTCGATAAGTCTAATATCCGTGGGTGAATATATATATTGATACCACCTGATGTACTGACAATATCAGAGCAAGCCAATGCCGATAATTTCCTGACCGATATCCGCCTAAGTCGTGATGGTCAGTAACTTCCATTGAGCTTAAAATGCCGGGATGATAGTTCATACCTTATACAATACACAGATTACAATTTGGGGAACACATTGTACAGACTGTGCTTTATGTTCAGTGAAATACCCACCCAGATCATCAGCAAGAGGATTGGCTGCGACAGGTGGATCCCTATACAGATGATCGCGTGGTCGATTGTGGCTAGCTGCCAATTCTGGCTATCCAACAGGGTTTCCTTCCTGGTCTGCCGAGCTTTGATAGGATTGGTTTCAGGTGGCTTCACGCCCACTGTAAGTGGCTTTACTGTTCTTCGTCCCACTATGCCCCTCTAAATTCGAGCAGGTCATCCTTTATCTTTCGTACTTTTACAAGCACCATGAGCTATCGATACGTCTTGGATACTGGTATGCAGCATCCTCTCTGGCCGATATGCTGGCAGGAATTCTTGCGTATGGGATCCTCCACCTGGGCGGTCATGGTGGGCAAGCTGGTTGGCGATGGCTTTTCTTAATTGAGGTATGTATACATCTCTACCCTTGACGTTGCGTTTAGCTCAAGCGGAACAGGGCCTCCTCACCCTGGCGTTAGGCCTTCTTGCTATTGTTCTACTGCCACCTTCAGCGACACAAACAGCTCACTGGGCTCGTGGAAAGAAGGGCTGGTTTACAGCAAGGTGAGCCAAGATAGATGGCAAACGGGGAAGTATCAGGATGCTGATATGAGAATATGAGCAGGGAGGAGACCATCATGGTCAATCGCCTCTTACGAGAAGACCCGAGTAAGGGCTCAATGCATAATCGCCAACCACTAACAGCCAAGCTTGTATGGATGAGTATCAAAGACTTTGATTTGTGGCCGTTATACATTGTCGGAATGCTGTTCTCAGCACCCTATAGTCAGTACACCCCCTTATATGAATTCAAGGGAGCCATGGACTAAGTTCTGTGAATAGCTACTGTTTCGCAGTATTTTACATTGCAGTTGAAGGATTATGGGTTCAGCACCTTCAACACCATTCTACTATCCCTCCCTTGCAGTGTAAGTAGAACGAGGGCAACGAATGGCCCACGGTATGACAGTTCTGACTGACTCCCAGGTCATCGGAATCATAACAAGAATTCTCCTCACTTATGGAGGAGAGATATTCGGCTCACTTGCCTGGATGGGAGTTGTGGCGCAGCTTTGGTGCTTGCCGTTCCTCATTTACATGAATGTAGTGGACCTGAGCGAAGCCAACAAGTGGATCGTATGGAGCGTTCTTACGCTCTTCCTCGGGTTCCCTAACGGTAGGCAGATTGCAGTTTAGGAAGCCGAGTTTATTTGGGTGAAGAATACTGATGTGAAGTCGAATAGCTCATGCTCTCCAAGCTGGATGGGTATCCCGCAATTCGAACAGCGTGCGAACTCGGGCTATTGCAGCTGCGATATACAATATGTCTGTACAACTATCTGCCATCATAGCTTCGAACATATATCGGGATTGTAAGTGTCTTTCCACCTATCAGCCTGCATTGCTGTATCCCTAGGCTGATCAAGGATAAATTCGCAATTTGACCTGTAGGGGATGCACCACGTTATGTGGTCGGAAACCGAGTACTCTTGTCTATTGTGAGCGTCAACATGGCTATCTACTTGGCGACCAAAGCGTACTATATGCTACGGAACCGACAACGGGACCAGAAGTGGAACGCGATGACTGAAGATCAACGAGTCGACTATGTTGCAACCACAAGAGACGAGGGAAATCGGCGGTTAGATTTCCGGTTCGCACACTAGGAGGGGAGGGTCAAAATGCCTTCTGGGATACGGTGCTATGTTTTGAAGACGAGGCTGTAGATGTAATAGGACTTAAATTGATGATAGTTTAGTGATTGATGCATGTATGAAACATTGTTGCTATAAATAATAAAAAAGAAGCCTATGACACTTACGTTTAAAGTTGAATTTCTGGAGAAAAGGCACGGCATGTCCCAATGCGGGAGGCACCCATGGAGGTCCCCCGATGAGTCACGTGAGACAATACGCGTTTTCCCGATGTGGGATGGAACGGGGTCCCGGTGGGCCAGTCAGATGCGAGAGTTGCATCTAATACGGAGTAAGTAAAGTAACCAACCCCGGGCCGTATCAATTGTCTGCGAGTCCCTCCCAACTGCTTGCAATTGCAATGTAACCGCATCAGCCATATCTCCTTCCTCCCTCCCTCTCCCTCTCATTTCAATCTTGCACTGCTGTGCTTCGATCTCATAACACTCTTGATCTTCCTCTTCTTTCCCCTTTTCACCATTGTTTTATTCTGTTACTCCTCACTGCGGCCAAGTCTTGGCTACAGTTTCCTTGACACCCCCTAATCCTGACGTACTTGGCAAACGTGGCCGCAGCGGCGGTGCTTCGCCTCGGAGCCGCCCATTATATACCGTGTTGCATGCCCTCGTCAGCCGGTCTTTTCCCGGGGGCAACTGACCTGGATTCTTTCTGCTTTTTATGCGCAATACCCACATGAACAGTCTTTTCTATACTGCAATATTCTCACTGTCCTTCCTGTCTTTCTGATTAACTTGCGACCCGCGGTAAACCAGCGGTCTCGTGCATCGTCCTTCTGTCAACGCGCGAAGTCCATTCTTTATTAACTGTAGGGTGTCAGCCCCCCAAGAGAAAAGGTTCATACATATTTTCCTTTCCTTTTTGATTCCTGCATTTCCTCTATTGTTTCCCGCTTGAAGGGTTTGAACGGAAGATTAAGACAAGGTGGCTTCAGACAGTGCGCAATCTTCGGGTCCGAGGGAGGTTAGGGACCCCGAGCTGGTTCTCGACACTCACGATTCGGATGATGAAATGCCCTTGAATCGCCCATCTATGCATCGCCCAGCCGACACCCGAGCAAACCAGCCTTTGCTCAAGGATGACCACAGAGGGCGACTGTCAAACGCCAGCCTGGGCCATGGGGAGGCAGAGGCCAGGCCCATGCTACACCATTCGCGGCGGCCTACAATCAGGGGTGTGAGCCCGGAGCGCAACGCGGAGCAGGAGACTCGGCGCAAGTACATGATCGCGTCGGGATTCCTGTTGTTGAGTCTGGCTAGTTTCGTGGTGCAGACGGAGACCGCGGTATATATTCAGCATGAGTTACACTGGGATAAACCATACTGCATGCTGTAAGTGGTACACCAGTCGCATAGTTCGTTAAGTGCAAGGGGACGTTAACTTTTGACCTGATCTTAACCTATAGCTATCTTACACACGGTTCCTGGGCCCTACTTTGGCCGGCACAACTCCTCATCCTCCGATTGCAGCAGCGTAAACTCTCATGGACAGCGTTCTGGCGACGCCATGTCTATCTCCTTCGGACGACCGCCAAGATGGTGGAAGCTCAAGATCTACACCTCACTTCTCGCGACTCCCAACGATCACCGGTTCGATACATGCTCAAAACGACCGCGTTTGTCACCACCGCTCTCACCATAGCCGGTGGCTCTTGGTATGTCGCGGTCAACATGACAACGGCCAGTGACTTGACCGCGATCTACAACTGCTCCGCCTTCTTCGCCTATGCGTTCTCCATACCCCTACTCAACGACAAGCTTCGCTTTGACAAAGTGTTTGCCGTCGTGGTAGCCATTTTCGGCGTTCTGGTCGTCGCGTATGGAGATAGGGACGAAAGTAAGAAGACTGCAGATGGTACGGTCGGCAAAGCGCATGATGAGGCAGAAAATAGACTCTTCGGGAACATCATTATCGGAGTTGGCAGTGTGCTCTATGGGTTGTACGAGGTGCTCTACAAGAGATATGCTTGCCCTCCAGAGGGCACGAGTCCCGGCCGGAGCATGATCTTTGCCAACACTTTTGGCAGCCTCATTGGGTGCTTCACCCTGCTTGTTCTCTGGATTCCTCTGCCCATTCTCCATATCCTGGGCTTGGAAACGTTTCGCTGGCCTACTGGTGAAGCTGCATGGATGCTTATGATCTCTGTCCTTGCTAATGCTAGTAAGTCTTACTGTCCTAAGCTCTTTTGACCTATGACGTCGAGTGTACGTGCTAACAAAGTGTTCCTCAAATTAGCATTCTCCGGCTCCTTCCTGGTTCTCATCTCGCTCACTTCCCCCGTCCTCTCTTCTGTAGCAGCGCTGCTTACCATCTTCCTCGTCGCCATCGCCGACTGGCTCCGAACCGGCCAGCCCCCCTCCGCCGCGGCTATCATCGGCGGTATCCTTATCATTGGTGCCTTCTTCCTGCTAAGTTGGAGCACATACCGAGAAATGAACGAAGAACGCAAGAAAAGCATGGCAAATGACCAGTCCGAGTCCGACCTCGATGAATAGACATCGCTTTATTAGACGGGACCTATATACCCTTCCTACCCGCTGGTGGAGTCCTGTGTTGTTTTCCATTGGTCGCGCGGATCGATCTATGGCTTTATCATCTCATATCTATTGCCTTCATCTGTGTATATGCATTTATCAGGAGTACTTTCACACTTTGTTTCTATAGTATATAGAAAGATATAGACTTGGGAGGAACGGTTTCGGTTTTAGTTATACTATTGAATTATAAAAGTCCCCAATCCGTGCTAGTATGTCGAAATAATGAGCTAAAGTTAGCTATATTGTATTGTTTACTAGAAAGGAGTTGACCGATCACAACGAGGAAAAGATAAGACATACAAGCCAGCCCAATTCGGTCATTCGTTCACATACTAGATGACATGACATGACACCATGGCGCACCATGGCGGACCTTACTTAACTCGAATCTCCCCGACACGCCAGAAAAGCTATAATCGTATGTACGTAGTATGGGACAAGTGACGGAGCTATGAAAATAGAACACGAGGAAGGAGGGGTGGGGGCAAAAGGCTGCTCGGGGAAGGCGTAAGATGGAAGTGATTTTGTTCAGTTCGCAGGGCGGGAAAACGGAATCCCCGATAGATGGTAGGTAATGATAGGTAGTCGGTAGGTAAGGTTGAAAATGAAATATACAACATATGTACTGAATGAAAGAGACAACTATCTAGGGCCGAGCTTGGCCAGGGCACGTGCACCCTGTTCCTGCCACTCTTGCTTGGTAACCCACATATCCTCCTTGTCGGCGATCTGGTGATTGTGTTAGCGATGGTGTGTCTCGTGAACAGACGAATAGGTATATAGGGGGAGATAGGAAGAATAAGAAGGCTTACCAGGTTGGCGAGGACGGCACCTCCCAGGAAGACCATGTGTCTTCGTCGCGGCGGGTCCTCGATGCGCACCTTGAATTTCTAGATTATAAGATTAGCATGCGAACTCTTTTGGTTAGGGTGCTGTTCACCAGCGAGTGGGATTACGTACGTTCAACCTCTCCGGGTTGCCTTGCAGGACCCGTGTGAGCCACAATTGCTTGAGCTCCTTCTCCAACCGGGAAGGCAGACCGGGGTACATGCTGCTTCCTCCACTGAGCACGATAGCCTTGTAGAGACTGGAGCGCACGTCGACATCGGCGCCCTGGATGGTGTTGAAGAGCAACTCGGCGATACCGGGTTGGTCGACATCCACCAGGTGCGGCTGGAAGAGACATTCGGGTGCTTCGAAGCGCTCGCTACCGACGCGGATGACGCGACCATCGGGGAGGGTGTAGGACTCGACAAGAACGGTGGTGTCTTCGGAGAGCTTCTTGTCCAACTCGAGATCGTAGGACACGTAGCAGAGCTTCTCCTTGATCTGGCGCACAGTCTCGAAGTCGGCGGTACGGTTCAAGGCATAACCGCGACGGAGCAAGAGGGCGATGAGGTTACGGGTGACATCACGACCGGCGACATCAAGTCGGCGAATGTGGTGGTTAAGGACTGTGGATTCGTAGACGGGGATAATGTGGGTGACACCGTCACCGGAGTCAACGACCACACCACTGCTGAGACCTGCGGAATGCGAAAGAGCGGGCGATCAGAGCTGTGGTCTAAGGGGCGCCTCAGGACATAGAGCGTGCGAGACTTACCCTGGGCGTATAGCGCAAGCACAGCTTGAATAGCAACGTATACACCTCCAAAGTTGTAGCCTTCCAGCATAACCTCAGCCATTTGCTCCCGGTTCTTCAGGGGATTCATGGGGGGCTCGGTCAAGAGGATCTTGCGGCCCGTAGGATCGATCTTCATCTTCTCGTAAAAAGTGTAGTTCCATAGGTGTTGCATGTCATCCCATCTCTTCACGATACCATTCTCCATCTGTATACCAAGTCGGGCCCAACGTTAACACGTCTGCCACACCTCCGGGGAGACAACGGAGCGATCGGGGGGTAGAACGAAGGCACGCGAATAGATGGACGTACAGGGTAGGTGATTTGCAGCATAGATCTGGCAGCAGCAGCTTCATCTCCGCACATGATATCCTTGACGACAATGTCGCCGGCCTGCTCCTCCGTTCGCAATATGGGCCGCCCCACTATCGAGGGGAACTGGTGCTCGGGGAAGTTCTGTTCATGGGCGAAAAAGGAGAGGTAAGTAAGAGTAGGCAATGGAATAGAGATAGTGACAGACCTGCGCAGCATATCCGACCTTGAGAAAACCAGTTCCTCCGTCGAGCACTGGGGGGCGTGGTTGGTTAGCTGGGAAGCACGGGAGGGACAGGCACCGACAAGGAGAACTTGGGGGGATTGAGGGGGTAGAGGGAAGGGAAGGGCAGGAAGAGGAGTGGGAAGACGCATAAACATACCAATGGGCATGTCAGCCATGGTGAAGGATGTAGATAGTTAAGACGTAGCAAGATTGATCAATTCCGGAGGGGTAAAAACAAAAGGAGCATGGGAGATGACGTCCAGAGAGCGGTAGGCTGGACGGGGTTGGGAAGCAGCAGTACGGAGAGTAAGTCTACGGAGTACTACTAATCGTCAGTCTGGCCTGTCTTTGGTTCTGAGTGGGTCCGTGACCGTCTCGTGTGGTCGGCCTGAGGCGGTGTTTCTCCCTGGATACCTGAATGCCTGATGGCCTAGCAGCCTTAACCGCTATCATTAATGGAGGTGGTCTGTCTCATAACTAATTAGTAAACCTACACACACATGGATCTCGCGAGAAAGCTGTAAACAAATTAATTGATAAATATCCAGTTATTTAGGCATACGAAGTAACCACTGACATCAAAGTATACAACAATCAAGGAACCCTCTACTTCCATAAACAGCAGTAGTCGATCTTAGTGCTGTAGTACTTAACGACCGTAGCAAGCTCCCCGGCATCGGGCCCGCCCGATAGTATTAACGAACTGAAGTCTATTTACAACCACCGACGCATATATAGTCCCCAGAACACCCGCTCAATCCCGTCTGGCATCTTAGACAACACTCGATTACTCCAGTTCAACATACATCATGACGCAAATCGGTTGGGTATGTTAATATCAATGAAAGAGGGAGAATCTATCAGCTCAGGAACTAACCCCAATGCCCAACCAGTTTGGCCTCGGCTCCATGGGCCTCGCCATGGCCAGCAATCTTCAAAGGCATCTAGCCCGCAAGACAGGCCCGGGTCTCATTTACTCCAACCGAACCATTTCCCGAGGTGACCCCCTCAAGAAATTGGGCGGTACACCCGCAGACAACTTCTCGAAGCTTGTCTCGCAATGTGGGATTATCTTCACCATGGTATGCGACCTCTCCGCTGGAAGATGCGCAACAGCATCATCGGGGCGCAAAAAGACATCATTACTAAAGAAGTGACAGGTCTCCAATGACTCTGTTCTGCAAGAATTGGTCACCACAGCTATCAACTCCGGCCACTCCCTCAAAGACAAGATCTTTGTTGACTGCTCAACCGTTCTTCCCGAGACTGTGGGCACAGCAGTCTCGAAGCTGAAGGAGAAGGACGCGAAATTCCTATCTGCTCCTGTTTTCGGGGGCAACCCCATCGCTGTGGATGGGAAGCTGGTATTCGCCATCGGAGGGCCCAAACAGGCGGCAGAGGTGGTGAAGCCGTTCATCCAAGACGTGATGGGGAGAAAGGTGATTGATTGCGGAGAGGATGCTATGAAGTCTTCGCTTTTGAAGATCGCAGGGTATGTTGGTCCTGTCATCCCCAACCTACATTTGGTATAGGGGATGCAAGTTCTTGCTAACGGGTGTGTATCTTGTTGTCAGAAACATCATCACGGTGAATTTGATGGAGGCAGTTGGCGAAGCACAGGTCTTTGCTGAAAAGACGGGCTTGGGTACAGGGCCCATGGAGGATCTTATCGGAGAGGCTTTTGGAGGTGTGGCTGGGGGGTATTCTAAACGGTGAGTGTGCCATTGATGTTGGGTGTTGACTATCCATCCTTCATAGTAAATCATGGTTGACACTGGTAGGTTGACGACTGGTGCCTATGCACCGCCATTGGACTCTCGCCCCGGCTTCGGGGTGTCTCTGGCCATCAAGGATGCAAAGCACGCGTTTTCCATGGCGAAGGAGCATAACGTGGAATTGCCGGGTTTGCAGGTTTCTCTTGATAACATGGAGGCTGCCAGAGAGTATGCGGGCGAATGCTTGGACAGCAGCTCCATGTACGGCTATCTGCGGCAGAAGGCGGGCCTGGAATTTTGGAACGAAAAGAGTCGACAGGGAAACTCTCAATAGATTAGACTAGATATATGTGGCTACTCATGTTGATCTCTGTCTGATTGGGCGAAACCAGTAGTTACATTGTCCTATATAGTAATTGATATAACCGAAGATCTTCATCTGGCATTCAAATGATCAGGGATGTGAAAGCCCTTCCAGACAGATACCTACTGTCGCACTGTCCTCCTGCCCGCAGTCTGTGACATGAAACTACGTGGTGGGGAGTTCGAAACCCTCAAGGCAGTTTCGGAGCTTAAGGGCCGTCCGGGATTTTGACCTTCTTCGGATTGTTCCCGCGATGCAAATGTTCACGCAGGACCACTCTGTTCTCAAAAGCATGCAAGGCCAGTAGAATCGGATTGATAGACTTTTGCCTGACAGCCTAACAATTTGAGCAAATCTCGAGATAGTTGTCGAATTTTGGCCAGCGTAAGTCATGGGCGACACAATTTAGGTGGTACCATACGAGACGGATGTGTCAGGGGAAGGAGACCACTGTGTGCAGTCCTAAAATTCAGCTCGACTTTTGTATGCTGTCTCAGCCAACGAGGTTTGACCACCGTTAGCCAGAACCACCTCGGCACCAAGTACAGCGAGAGGTGACTGAAGAGGAGAAGTAGATAAACTCCAAAGTCGAAAACAGCTTGTCATGCCCAATGTCTAAGTCATGAAGATGCACCATCTATCTTGATCAATGACAAGCGATGGCTAAAAATCCGTCTTCATTAGTGTGAAGATTTAATCCTTGTGGTTTCGACCAAGGAAGGATAGGCTTCTGCAAAAGCGGGGCCCAGCGACCAGTTACCGAGATTGCGGAAGTGTCTTTCAAAGACGGGATTGACCATAAGCTCGTCACCGTCACCGGAAGACAAAAGGCAGTCTGTCGCTTCATAGGGCCAATTCACAGATAGTGTACGTGTGAAGGGAATAAACCAATTCTCGAAGGGGTAATCCTGGTACGACATCACCAGGCGATCTCGCATTCGCGGCCATGGCAGATAGTCAATCCAAGCCGGATGGGCCGTGAGAAGCTGCGACGGGCGAGGAGTGAGCCACTCGGGCAACCGGTCATAATTTTCAGGGGTCGGATAAATCTGCCACCGCATGAGGAGGAACATGAGAAACAGCACGGCCACTTGTTCGGGGAGGGTTGAGATATCTGGGAAGGTCCGCAAGATGTCGGTGAACACTTTCGACAAGGGATGCGAGTAAACGCTTTTCTCTGGATTGAGGAGGGAGGAGACGCTGGGATAAGAAGGTCCAACTAGGCTCTGCTTTGACACCCCCTTCGCTGCTTGGTGCTGTCGATTATGAAGAAAATCCAACAGAATGGCGTCCAGCGTGCATGTCGGAGCGACGTTGCGAATCGGGGTCAGGTAGGCAGGCAGTGGCTGTTCCGCCATAGAAGGATGAACACCGGATGGGTAGGTTGGCGATGGATTTGACGATGGCCTCAGTGTCTCTGATGAGCGTCGAAAGCCCTCCACTTTGGGGACCTGCTGCGATGCGTCAAGCAGGAAGTTAAAGCCCATTCGTTCATCAGTCCCGCCAAAGTCCAAACCGTGAGCCAAGTTGTGTCGCTGGTAGTCGAACGCAATGCGGAAAGAAGCGGGGCCTGTCGCTGTTATCTCACGGCGTGCCGTACCGGACGCAAAAGCCGCATGTGCGGTGGAAGAAGATGCCTCGGGATTCGTAGCAGACTCTGCAAACGGGTGCTCGCCAGGGGCTGACCTCTGGGTATTGGCTGAGAAACAGAAGGCATCGGACAACGGCGGCGTCGATGTTATTGGGGGGATTCGATTGTTGGTTGACGAAGGCGTCGCGGTTAAAGTATCTGGAAGAATAAACTGTTAATGCAACTGTTTCCCCCGACAGTCTACGTAGTTGTTCTGGGAACATACTCGGCTTCTCTTGTTGCCCCAACAAAGGCTGAATTATATCCATGATCGCTTTCAGTCCATGTCTGATCTCCCGATTCTCTGCTTGGATGACTTCATTTTGCCTCAAAGCCGCCTGAAGATCCAAGAAGGGCTTCTGCGACGAAAGATCTCGGACTCGTTGTTCCAGAGAATCGATATGAGCTTTCGTCCTTTCGCGAATGGCGCGCTGGGCCTGCCGATCGTTCGCCCGCTTCTTCGCCAACTGCTCCGGGGTGAGATTCGCTACACCACGCGCTGAGGTACAGTTAAGCTTGCGTTTGCGACCTGCGCCTGTTGCCGGTGTTCCATTGTTATCCGGTGCGGGTGTTTCTGCGTCCGCGGAGGTCAATGCGGATGGTGTGGGGGAGTCCTCCAGTTTTACCACATCGGACCCGGGAGTGGCGACCGGGGCGGCGGTGGATGGGCCTTGAGCAGTCGAGGGTGTAACAGCAGCCGCCGCAGCGGACGAGGAGAAAGAGGCGGAGGGAATTGAGGAGGATTCCGGATTCGCTGAAGCAGCGACATCGGTTAGAGGAGGAAGGCGGGTGGCCATGGCCTCACTCGCAGGCTGCTACTACGGGAACGCAGCGGCCATGCAACACGACGGGTAAGGAGCACAGGCAAAGCGGATCAGAATCCCAGACGATTTCAGGAGGATCTGGGGTTCACTGGAGGATGGTCAGGGTGGCATCGAGAAAGAAAGACAGGGGAGATAAAAATAAAAGGAGCAGCCGATCCGGACGAGTAAGGACTGACACCAGGACCGGCGAGTCATTTGAGGGGGGGCAAGAGGAGAAAAATAGGGAAATGATCATTGGGGAAAGGCAGCCTTCAGCAACTTTCTCTGGTCGGAGGAGAACAATCAGTCTGGTTGGCTGCGGTGGAGTTGCCCCAAAGTCAATAATCGGCACCACGTTTTGCCTTTTTTCATTTTTTACCCTGACGGCACTAGAAGACAAGAGACAAGATTCTTGCAGAAATGCCAGGCCACGGCCGAGCCGGACTGTCTTAGTCTTTTGCGGTGCTCTAAACTTCCATAGTTGTGGCGTCGCTCCGCTTCCTGTCCCGCGCACCCCGAAAGAGACAGCAAAAAAGTCCCTCGCCAAGGGTTCTGGATCCTAGAGCTATAGCACTAGATACTAACTCCCTTCGCCATAAATCGGTGAATCGGTGGATCCAAAAGCTACGGAGCAATTGTCTCGGGTTGTCGGCACACGATCTCATGACAGCTCATTCTCAATTGGTTTATCCTTCCACTTTTGGCGTCATTCAGATGGTATCAAAGTCAAAGCTTGTTCCGGTATCCACAATCCTGGTGATGCCTAACCAGACCAGTGCACCAGATTGGTGAAAAGAGAACGCAGACAGATATCACTCCGTCCAAAATAGAAAATGGAAACAAAATAACAGAGGTACAGGTGTACCGAGGGACAATGATAAACTCTTAGATCATAAAATCAGTTCATAACTGTACAGCATTACCGAGACCCAACCCGAGGCCTCATATAATACACCCATTCGACAAACGGCTATATAGTGGGTGGAACAGACAAGTGAGGGAATGCAACCAAAAGAAAAAGAAAAGAAAAAGAAAAGAAAAAGAAAAAGAAAAAGAAAATACGTGAAATGACTCTAGCGAGTTTATTCAATCATGTGTCCCATTTTCGCGATCTATTTGCACCCAAGAAAGTTAGCATCCCTGGCCGGAGCAAAATAATAAAAGTACCACATCCGAGGCAGAGAAAAAAAAAAAAAAAAAAAAGCAAGCAACAACCAGTCTCGGAAAAAGCAGTTGAAGAGTGCCATGGTGAAACAAGCAAAACTTACCTTGGTCCTGAGATAGCCCTCTACTTCTAGACTTTTGATGCCCTGCTTTCCCCCCGACCTCCATGCCAAAGGTATCATTGGCACACGCTCTTTAACCGCCACCTCACGATTTGCACCCTCAATGGCGCGAACCTTGTCCGGGTTATTCGTAAGAAGTCGGATGCCGTGAGGATTGGCATCCACACCCAACCCAAGGTCGACTAGGATCGCGGTAGCCAGACCGTAGCTTCTCGCGTCAGCAGGGTGTCGCAAGAGAAGGTTGGCCTCTACAGTGTCGGAGCCAAGATCCTGCAAGTTGTAGGCCTTGAGCTTCTCCCCCAGTCCTATTCCGCGACCCTCTTGCCGCAGGTAAACAATCACCCCGCCAGAGGCATTGGAAGGCACCGGAACAGCTTGCTGGGAAGCCATTTCACTTAGAGTCTCCATGGGGAAGGACATCAGCCTGGCTGCTTCGTCTAGTTGTTCACCACAATCGCAGCGCGCAGACCAGGCGGTCTCTCCGGTATAGCATTCGGAGTGTATCCTCACAAGTGGCGCTTGACTAGGTGAACTCTCTGTCGCAGTTGACCTTTCTGATGATACAGGTCCACCGTCACCAGCTGCACCTTCAGCGTTTCCATCATCATACCAACTGCTCACCCGACCGGGATGCAATGTGCCCACATAAGCTCCACGTATCATACGATCCATTTCCGTTTCCCCTGGCCGAACCTTGTCCAGGCTCCGACTTCGAATAGTGTTTCCAAACACAATTGCCAAGTGCTCTTTGTTGTCCAAGTTGTTGTGATAGAGATGGAGAAACATCTCCGCGCCGGTGGTGGTGGGAATCCGTGCGCGAACGATGCATTCGACTTCGGGAAGGCAAGGAAGAAGTTTCGGGGCTTTAGTGTGTGATAACTTTTGAGTCTGTTGAAGCAATTTCGCTGGATTGAATGTACCACCGGGTGTAGCTGGAGGGGTAAAGGAAGGGGAGAGGAGGGAGGCAGGCACGGCGGGGGTTACATCACCCCGATCGCTATCTGCGCTGTCGGACTGGGCGATAGCATTGTCACGAAGCTCGTCTACTCTGCTATCTGAGGGCAGAATTGTTGCTTGATCAGTGCTAATGGAGAGTTCTTCCACAGGGTGGGGAGGCGCATCTTGCGCCACGAAGGTTGGGGAGGCGTGAGAAGGTAGGTTCGACATGATGGCCGCGGATAACAACGCGCAGATAGATTGAAAGGTAAAGGGAGCGAAAGTCGTATGGCGAAGAAGTTGCAAAAGACCCTGACAATAGGTGGTGGACAAGAAATTATACCAGTGAGACGGCGAAAAAGGAGGACATGATCATAGGAAGTAGTTGTAAAGTATCACCATTGCCGTGGG